AGCTCGGAAGCCCAAGGAGATAAGACCTTGAGTTCACTTTCTGGGAAATAGGAAGGTATTTAGTCTCTGTCCCTCTCCCACTTCTTCGCCCTATGATGCTGTGGCTCTGTAAGGCTATACTGTTTGTTTACAGCCAGCATCTAGTCTGTTTGTTGGTCCATTCTGACTGGTCCATGGCCAAGGCATACTGCTATTAAATATCTTTATATCAACTCTACCCACCTCATAGGGTTGTTGTAAGGCTAATTACTGTAATGTATATAATGTACCTAGCACATACTAAGCATTTGATAAATGAGATCAGGGACCATATATGATGCTTTAGTATGTGGCCTGGATATAGGATTACCTCAGCACAAGTCCACCAAGACCCCAAGAAGTCTCTAAGGTAGTTATTTGAAGCCCCTGATGTTCATTCCACCCCACAAATATTGTGATCTTTATCAAACCCAGGTCACCCCAAAATACTGCACATACTCCCATGAAACAACTGAGAAGCACCAGCTGGACCCAAGAACTATCACATTTATTCTCCCTCTTTTGAGAATGGACCTACTGTGGTGGCTCATGGCAGGCCACACCCTCAAGATGGTGCTGTTAGGAGCAGGTAGGGTGGGTTGCAACAGTGAGCTCAGACTACTTGAGATCTTCCTTTTTCAAACAAGGCTTTGGACTCTAGTGCTTAAATCGTGGATCCAGGTCAAAATTCCCTCCAAACCAGAATTCTGGCTGGCTTTCATGCCCACTGCTCATCCCGCTCCAGGTCCTGGCATTCCTTGTTTTTTCCCAGTTCACAAAGTGACTGTAAGGGTCATAAAGCTACCAACAGCTCACCAATGTGACTTGTTCACCAATGTGTTTCTAGGACTCAGCACGGTGCCTCGCACAGTGTAACATACAATAAATATTTGTTGAATAAATGAATAAATTAATTACTTTTTCTCAGCCTGTAGTTGATATTTCATGAAGGGTCTTTCTTCCCCTCTCTTGGAGCCCACTATAGCTTTGCCAGCCTCTCGGACCCCAACAGTGCTTCCCATCTGTGCCCATTCTTTGGCAACTAACCAACCTCGACTCAGTTCAATTCAACCATCTTCCATGGCGTTTCACTACTGGCAGGATGCACTCACAGTCGCAAGGAATAGCGAAGGCATTTCCTAGCTTGAGGCACCTCAATTGTCCTTTGAAAACAACCTTGGTGTGGAACATAACTTTTCCTAAGATATTTTGAAAGTCTAAATACACAATTACAAATTACTTCCCTTTGTCAACACACTTGATTACCGTACAGGAAATAAGTGAGTTATAGATGGTAGATAAACAGATGATTACTTGACAGGTATGAGGCAGATGTAGAAGGAGATGGAAGGGTCGGGAGGAAGGAGACCCAATCCTTGTCAGATGCATTTGCAGTTTCATTAAATGTGGTAAGGAAAGGAGGATGGCATCTCAGCCATTTAGGACTGGCCTGGTACTGGGTTTTGAAGAGATGCCCAGAAGCCCCTTGCATGAAAAGAAAGCTAGAATCCTCACACACAAACCTGTTTTTTTTTTCCTGAGGGTTGGGCCTTTTTAAATGTTATCACTATTCTCTATTCCTGTTTCCACCCCTTCTACACATCTCCCGCTCCCTATCCCAATCTTCTGTAAATTAGTAATGTGCTTTCTCTCTGGTAATTATTTGTTTTAATGGAATTAGAATTAGCCTCTTATGTGTTCATTAAAACCTTGTTTTTTAATATCAATAACTCAGAAATAACCAAAAATCTTACAATAAGAGGTAATTTAAATGTATAATATTAGATCCATTGTCTGAAATACTGTGTAGACAATAAAACAATGTTATAAAAATAGTAATTGATGTAGAAAAATTCATATGTTGTTAAGTGAAAAAGGTAGACTACAAAACGATGTGTGAGCTCTCTGTGTGTGCTTGTGTGAGTGTATGTGTGTGCAGTGTGCAGTGTGCAGTATTGGTAACTTTTTTCTTGGTGTTTTTCTGTGTTTTATAAATTTTCTGCATTGAATACTGCAGTCTGAGTTGGGGCACGACCAGGAGGGGTGCATTATAAAGACTCTGAGAGCACAAACAGATATTAAGCAAAGCTTTCTTCAGTCAATGAATTTTGAGGAAAGTGAAAGGCACAGAGTATTGGAGAGGAACTCGAGGAATATACTCTTTTTCAAATACAAAGTGGAGGACATGGTGGTGAGGACTTAAGGCACACCAAAGAAGATGGGATTCCATTAAAGAAGCAATAGGGAGCAACTCTGGGTTTATGAACAAAGGAGCGAATTCATGGGAGTGGTGTTGGAGGAGAATTATTCTAACCATAAGCAGGGTGGATTGGGCTGTCTAGCAGAGAGATCTGCAAGGAAACTCTCAGTTTGCATATTTGACCTGAGGTAATGAGAGCTTGGATTAAGCTTGTGGCAATAAAACCAGAAAGGAAGAAGCGAATGGATCTGAGAGATGTTACCAAGGAAGAATCAGAGCGAGAGGTTCAAATTTGGCTAAATATATGCCAGGTGGTAGGAGAAACCATGTAAGGAGGCACTTTCCAAGGAAATGGATGTTAAGAGAGGATATCAGAGGGATGAATCTTTGGGAATTCCAACAGTTAATGAGAGGAGGAAAGAAGAGGAGGCAGCGAAAGAGACAGAGAGTGATGGGTCAGAGAGATAAGAAGAGA